TTTATTACAACAGCATTGACATATTCAATAACAATTTCCAGAGCTAAGATGCTTCTCTTTTTTTTAATTTAGAATTCCATTTGCTTTTCTTAAGTTAACCTGAGAGAAATTTGAAGAAATTAGTAAGGTGTATAAGATATTTCTTGTGCAGATTCAACCCACAGCTGCCATTTTTTTTGGCTTGCTGTATTTTAAAAGGTAAAATAGAATAATAAAGAGGATGGTGGAATGCATATATCAATGAAAGCTTAAGAGCAAAATATTTGGGAGCAGGAAGGAGACCAGCAAGAGGAGGAAGAGTGACAAGGGAGAGAAGGGGTTGCAAATAAGAACAACAACAACAACAAAAAATATATATATATACACACACACACACACACACACACATATATATGTCACAGTGAACCCATTTCTTTGTGTGATAAGCAGAAAATGAAAAAAAGTTTTAGTGTATATCTAAATACTACTTCCTTCTCCAGATTCTTTAAAAAATAGGTTTTTCATAAGAACTGATACACCTTTTGAAAATGGCCTTTGCTTTATTGATATATATTTTATTTTACTTTGAGTATATTTCCTGATAATCTGCCCCACCATCCCCTTTCTCAGCCCTCCTATAATCCCCTTAGTTTCCCTAGACAGTGTTCTACTTTCATGTCCTATATACATACATGATTTTTTTGTATCTATATAAAATCTAGGAGCTGAAATGAGAGAAAACATGATTTCTTTCTAAGGTGAACTTAACTCACTTAATATCTCTACTTACATCCATGTTTCTGCAGATGAAATAACCTTGTTCTTTATGGTTGAAAAAATTCTGTTCTATATGCTGGAGATGTAGCTCAGTTGATAGAATGCTTGCTTAACATGCACAAAGCCTTGGGATTCCAGTACTTATAAATAGGATATGGTAGTGTATACCCATAATCTCAGCACTCAGGAGATAGATCCAGGAGAATCAGAGGTTCAAGGTGATCTTCAGGTATGTAGCTAGTTAGAAGCCTGCTTATGGGACTGGAGAGATGCTCAGTAGTTAAGAACACTGACTGCTCTTGCAGAAAACCCAGGTTTGATTCCCAGCACCCACGTGGTGGCTAACAACCATCCGTAACTCCAGTTCCAGGGGGCTCTGATGCCCTTTTCTGACCTCCACAAGCATTGCATGACACAGGTACACTTATTTATGTATAGGCAACGTACTCACACATGAAAAAAATAAAATTTTTATAAAAAGCCAGCTTATGTTTCATAAGACCTTGTCTCAAAAAAATTTCCATTGTGCATATGTACCATATTTTCCTTATCAGTTCCTCTTGATGATGGATGTCTAGGTGATTCTATAACTTGGCTATTGTGATTATGCTGCACTAAACCTTGATCTATACATATATCTAGGTCATGTGAAAGCCATTCTGACTGGAGGGAGATAGAATCTCAATGTAGATTTAATTTGCATTTTTCTGACTGCTGGTGAGGATGAACATTTTTTCCTATGCTTATTGGCCATTTGCACTTCTTTTAAGAACTCTCTTTTCTTTCAGTTCTTTATGCTCTAGGCATTAATCTTCTGTGTGAGGCATAGCTAGCAAAGGTGTTTCCCATTCATGGGCTGTCTTTTCAACTTGATTGTTTCTTCTGCTGTACAGAAGCTTTCTAATTTCATGAGCTCTCGTTTGTCAGTTGTTGACATTATTTCCTGAATGACTAGAGTCTTATTCAATAAGTCCTTGTCATGCCTGTATCTTGAAGTGTCTTCCATACTTTTTCCTCCAATAACTTTAGAGGTTCATGTCTTAGGTTAGGGTCTCTTATCCATTTAGAGTTGATTTTTTAAAAACAGATTTTTTATTGAGCTTTTGTACATTTCATACCACAGTCGTTGATCAAATTTAGACCCCCTCTCCCATCCGTGCCCTCCAGCCCCTCACCAGACATTATGTATTCTGCCATACATGTTAAGACCTATTTTGTACCCAAATGTCCTTCTGTGCACATTCATCTACTAGAGTCTAGTCAGCCTATCTAGATATCATAAGTAAGGCCTACCCTCCCTCACCCAGTAGTAATCAGTCTCCAGTAGTTCCCAGACTAGGGCCAGCCTGCCACCCATTTCCCTTGCTCCACTTTGGGCCCTTATCTGATTGAGTTGGCATTGAGTCCTGTGCTCGATGCCACCATTGCTACAAGTTTATATGTGCAAGCTTCCAGGGTCCTGAAAGCCTCTGCTTCCCTATATTCATGAAACAGCCCTGCTCTTAGAATTTTTCTGCCCCCTCTTCCACAGTGGTCCCTGAGCCATTGGGTAGGTGAGGTTTAATATAGGAGTCCTATACAGGGACACATACTCTGCAGTCTCTTATTCTCTAAAATTTAGCCAGTTGTGGCCTTCTATGTGTATCTTACTCTGTTGTATAAGGAAGCTTCATTCGTGAGAGTTGAGATGCACCAGTATTCTCTCCACCCTCTGTTCTACTATGTTCCTTGAGTTTTAAGTGTAGAGGTTTCACTGTACATGTGTCACCTAGGGCTTAGTATCTCTCTGACATACATTCTCTGTATGTGACCGGTTGCGGAACTGGGCAGTAGCCTCCATCTGTTGCAAAAGAAACGTCTTTGATGAGTGGTGTACTGTATACTTGTCTGTAAATGTAAGGATCTATATTTAGCATATAGTAAGAAATTTCATTTGTCTAGAGATATGGCAGAAATAGGGTTTTCGCTAGGATAATTACAGTGCCACCCATGAGTTCACTCTCATTGAGAGGGCTTTGGTTTTTATGCAAGATGAGAGATGGGGATCTAGTATCATTCTTCTGCATGTAGAGACTAAGTTTTTCTAGAACCATTTGTCAAGGAGCCATCTTTTCTCAATGTATAATTTTGACATCCTTGTCAAAAATCAAGTGGCTGTAGTTGTACAGGTTTATACCTGGGTCCTCTGTTCTAATCCACTTATCTATGTCTATCTTTGTGCCAGTTCTATCCACATTGGTTTTGTTATTGCGTTAATACTATGTTGTTAGTACTACAGTTCTAGAGTATAACTTCAAGTCAAGTAAGGGGATAGCTTCAGCATTATTTGTGTGTTGGGGGGCTATATGCACATATTCATGTGGGTGTTTGTTTGTACATGACATTCAAGTGTATGGGGTCAACATCAGATGTCTTCCTCCGTGGTGCTCCATCTTATTTCTTTTTTTTAATATATTTTATTTATATTATTTTTTATTTTTATTTTATGTGTGTATTGCCTGCATGTAGGTAAGTGTACCCATGTCCTGCAGTGCTCTCCGAGGACAGAAGAGGCTGTCCGATCCCCTGGAACTGGAGTTACAGGCAGTTGTTAGCTGCCATGTGGGTGCTGGGATTCAAACCCGGGTCTTCTGCAAGAGCAACCAGTGTTCTTAACCGCTGAGCCTTCTCTCCAGCCCCTTATTTATCATTTTTTATTTTATGTGTATGAGTGTATTGCCTGCATGTATGTGAATGTACCTGTCTCGTGCAATGCCCAGGGCGTCGGATTCCCCTGGAACTGGAGTTAAGGACAGTTAATAGCTGCAATGTAGCTGCAATGTGGGTGTTGGGAATTGAACCCGGGTCCTCTGCAAGAGCAGTCAGTGCTCTTAACCACTGAGCCATCTCTCCAGCCCCTTCCATTTTATTTCTTGAGACAGGGTCTGTCCCTAAACCTGCAGCTCATCAAAACCTGGAGCTAGGCTGCTGACTGACCAGTAAGCTTGAGGCATCCATCTATACATTCTGCCATAGCACCACACCTCCCTCCCCTGCCACCCTCCACCACTCTCCATCATCCCCAGGCTGATGTGTGCTGTCATGCCTGTCTTTATGTGGCTTCTAGATACTTAAACTCAAGCCTGGTGATTGCACATCAGTCACTTTACCAGCTGAGCCATGAGCCGGCTATCCAGTTCCATTCGGAACTTGGCTATATAGGTAGGGTCTTTTGTGCTTCCATATGAATCTTAGGGATGTTTTATCTATTTTAGTGAAGAATGGCAATGTGATTTTAAAGGTGATATCATTGACTCTGTAGATTGTTTTTGGTCAGATGGCCATTTTCACAATATCAGTTCTTCTAGTCCATGAGCGTGGAAAGTCCACTTTCTGGTGTCTTCAGTTTTTTTTTCCTTTCATTTCTTTCGTTAAATGTATTCCGTGGTTTTTTCTTTGTTTTTTTTTTTTTTTTTTTTTTTTTGTTTTGTTTTGAGGCGATTGTGAATGAGATTGTTTCCCCAATTTCTTTTTCATTATGTTTATCATTGCTGCGTAGGAGTGCTACTGTTTTTTATGTTAACTTTGTATCCTGCCACTTTGCTGAAAGCGTTGATCAATTCTATGAGTTTTCTG